GTTGAGCAAACAAAAAATGTAAAATGGTGCCGCCAGACACCTTAGACGATTCCCAGAATACCCATTCGCTAGGTCACGAGTGTATATGATGAAAGAGAAGGCAAGTAACACTGCACTACCATGTATTTACGTTGATCGACCAACTGCCATTAAAAAGTAACAGTTACAAAGGAAATGTCAAACTTAAAATTTAGCAATCCGCCCATGAGTTGATGCGCACTATGCCATCATTTTCGGAGTTACTTCTAATGCGAAAGGCAAACGCTTTCCCATTTTTACATAGTAAGATTTCTTGCTTGACTGCCGAAAAACCTTCAAGAACAATCACTAGCACTGAGCGAACTCACCTGCGCCGATACTTGAAAAGTAAATCCACCCCAAAGTGATAGCCTGACCAACGCCAAGTGCACGGTACTTCGCCGTCATTGATGCGGCGTCCCAGACGTTCACATCGACGCCAGAACACCTCTGCCGACACATTGGACTGCGGTCCAGCGATGCCACGCTCACGCGATGCAGTAGATTCACCACGAGCCACAGTCAGGAGGCTAGAGAGTTGTGGTGCTCGAATAAGGGAACTGCTTTGAGGAGTGCCAGTAGAGCCATTGGCTGCGAGGTAGAGATCATGACATCGCAACTGTTGAAGCCATTGGCGCTGATAGGCTTTCTGGAGCCAGGCTGTAAGAAGAGATACCATAGCTAAGGGAGAACACCAATCGACTTCGGGGGACGCTTTGATTCAACTAGGTCGTTCAAAATAGTAATTGTGCCTGAAAAAAGCACACTGGCGCGTCAAAAGCGGTTCCTCAACATGTAAGGTACTGTCTAGCGCAGCCTGGTGCAAAACATGTCTTCAAGTCGTTTGCTTTCTGCGTACCAAATTTGTACTGACAACAAGTTTATATTAGCTTAGGAGAATAATCAATTGTAGGATTTCTTCCTTGGACGATTCCATTTTGCTGGCTTTGTTAAATAGGAGTTAGTAATAAAAGAGCAATGATGATTGACAATGCTTCGTGAC